CCCTCCGTGTCCGCGCCGCGAACGCGCGGGACGGGCCCGTGCGGCCCGGGGGGACCGGGAGGGGGCCGAGGGGCGGTGAGGGGCGCCCGCGTGCGCGGAGCGGAGCCGGCGTCGCGCCCTGAGGCGGCGGGCAGCGCGACGGCATGTGCCGGTATATGAGCGTGTGTGTGTGCACCTAGGGACGGYGCTTCGAGGGCTGAACAGGGGCTGCGATGACTGGTGTGAGGGAGAATAATGTATGTGAGGGGCTGGGGCTGGGGAGGGAGCAGCCCCACGGCGGGGATTGGGGAAGGAAGGGGGGTTGGGGGGGCCGGCGCTCCGCGGCCGCGCATGTCGGGGATGCTGCGCTTGTTCTCGGGGCGGGGGGGTGCTGGAAATCCCACCCTGCCTTGGCGGTGTGCGCTTCCCGGCGGCCGTGGTGCAGGTGAGGAGGGGGCTTGGGAAGCTCCGGGGAATACCCGCTGTCCTGCCGGGCCAGGGGGCGCGGGTGGAGGGGTTTTCTGGCGGGGCTGAGGGCTGGTGTTTGAGGAACCGGTGTTAACAGCGGTGTGGTTTTGCTGATGATGAAAGAGGTTGGAGTGTCGCCCTGTGTCCTTGGCGTTTAAACGAAGCCGGCATGTGTTCGGCAGCGGGGGTTTTCATGCAACACTTCACTGCTGCGGCTCCAAAGGCGCTGCTCGCGATTAATGAGTTAAGCTGCTCGTTTAAAATAATCCTCTCCACCTCCCCTAATGTGCCTGGACCGATTGATTGATCACCCCCCAGCACCCTCAATCATTACACAGTGATAAATGTTGCTTTCTGTGCTGAGCGTTGTTTGTTTTTAAAGATTCCTGGTTATTTCCCTTATTGATAAATAAGTTCCTTCTCCTTCCTGCTCCCCCCTCCCTTTTCTCCTCCCCCAGAATTAAATTCCTGAGCAACAGCAAAAGCTGATGTCAGTGCTTCAGCTTGCATTGGGGGAGCTCTGTGCACAGGTCAGTAATTTGCGGTTTCGTTAGAAGGAAGAATGCGGTGCAGWGCAGCTCTGTTAGGGATATTTGGATGCGTTTATCCCTCGTATTGCGGTAGTTATTGACAGCTCCCTGGTGGGAGCTGGGCGCTGCATAAGCATATGTAGGAGAGTCCATCCCTGTCCCAAGCAGCTGGCGATGACGAATGCACTGGGGATGGTTGCCAGAGGTTCCATCTCCCTCTGATCTGGAGCAATAAGGCAGACCCATCTCCCGCAGAAAAGAGTCGGGATTTCCAAGCAGCCCGAACAGGTAGTGCTGAGGATTGTGCCTGGCAGTGCAGGGGCCATGATAACCTTGAGAGCAGCTTGCCTGTGGAGCAGTGTTTGACGTTCGCTAGCATTGTCTCATCCTTCTGCGCTGAGGCAAAAGCTCGGGGCGCAGCTGCCTACGCGCCCAAACGCGGCTGTGGAGAGCTTTGTTTTCGGAAGGACTTGATGCATGGGAATTGGTGCTTTTGGGTTTGGCCTTGCTTCTGTGTGCCTCTGTTTGCGCTGTCGGAGGGCGTCCGTGCCGGGAGGACTCTCTGCAGAAGAGGTTTGTTGGGGGTTTGGGTCTGCATGGGGGTTTCTGCACTTGATTTGATCTTGCTTGTAACAGCTTCCAAAATGAAATAAGCTGTGGCACCAAGGAAATCCTCCTGGCCGTATCATATTTTGGATCTTAAAATGCCCTCAAGGACTTTGCAGGTGTCTTGTCCCCAATTTTGCCTGGCACAGCTACAGTGGCAGAGCATGGATGTGTAGGATTGTCCAAATGGCTRTGACCACAGCAGAGAGGCGAGAGTGTGAGCTTCACAGGGGTGCCCAGATGCCTCTTTTCAGGGGCAGYAGGGAGAAATTTGTGCCCTCAGCCCATTGGCAAAACAATTTAGAGGCATAAACCTGAGACTGGAAGGTTTCCAAGCTGAGATGACAGCAGCTCACACCAAAAGTCTTCTAACCCAACAGATTTCAGTTGTCCCTGCTTAGACATAAGGTAAGGAAAACCTGGATCTAGCATTGTTGTTTAAAATCTTGCCTCAGCTAAGCTTGAGGGAGCTGAGTACAGTAGCCAGAGTCCTTAGGAGCATTCACTGGGGATGCTGCATGGAGATTATTCTTGCAAATACTGCACCGTGTTTGTCTGCAGTGTGTTTTTGCTGAGAAAGCCACTGAGCATTTGGAGGGCCTGTATTCACCTAAAATTAAATGTAACATCACTTTTACTATGAAAACAGCCCTGAGGGCTGGGTGGGACTAAGCAGTCGTGTCGGTCCCATGCTGTGAAATTAGGTCTGAAGAGGTGGGAGAACACTCGCTTCTCTCCTTTGCAACCCTGTCCTCCCCCAGAGAATCCCCCAAAAGCTGGAAACCCCCCAAAGGTTGGACCCCCCCCCCCCCCCAAAGGCTGGAAACCCATTGTGGCTGTGGATTTCTGAAATTACTTCTCTTGGAATAAATATGAGTGAGTCCCCACTCCATCCCTACCCCTACCACTGCACCAGCTGCTATAATCTACATGAGGGATAGGGGGTGTGTTATAGGTGTTTTCCCTCTTTGGATTTGCTTCCCTGCCTTTAAACAGGGCTGTTCTTTGGGATCAGAGGTTAATTGGTGCACAACTCGGCTCCCAAAGCCCTAGGCACAGTCAGGTGCAGAGCATGTTCATGCTATCAGGAATGGAAGGAGGAAAAGGAGCTGCTCCAGTGCTCGGCAGCCCTCATTTATGGTGCAGGCTCATAGGACGCTGCCATCATACTGAAACAGTGCCAGCAAACTGAATCTGGTAGAAAGGAGGTGATAAAGACAAGGAGCTTGTGGATGCTGACCCCTCTCTCCTGGCAGGACAGCCAGGATATGGCACTGGGAGAGAGTCTGTAGGCCTTTTTGCCCTCTGCCAGTGTTTAATGGTAGCGTTAGCAGGAGATGGCTGCAGAAACACCCGAGTGCTCACGGTCCCTGGGTCTCACTGCACGCTTTTCCTTGCTGCTATGCAGAGAAACTCCTGCAGCCAAAGTGGCAATGCAGTCATCCTGTGGGGAAAGCTTCAGCACTCCTCTGCATCCCCATGCCCTCTGGGTTTTAAAACCTGTTTTTCGAGCTTTACATTTCTTCTCTGAAGATACACCTGTCCTGCCCGATGCCTGTGGGAAGGAGGCACCTGACGTAATTATGACAGGCTTGGGGAAGGGAGGTGAGTGGCCCAGGAGCATTCATCAGATAAGAAGCTAAACAAGCTCTCTGCTCAAGATTTTCTCAAGCTTACTCAGGAGACCTGGGTGTACTTTTGTGTGCAGGATTGTTACACAGCCAAGGGAGTGTGAGGGAGGGTAAAAACTGACTGTGCCAAGATGCTGTGCACTACTGGTGTCAGGGTTGCTGTCAAAGCCAGATAGTGCAGTTTCCTGCAGGGACAGAGGGTGGTGAAGTCCACCCCAGTGATGGCTTTGATGGAGGGAGAGACTATGTTATGTGTCTCGTCCCCATGGGAGAGTTTCTTTGCCAGAGGTGGGCCAGCAGCTGAGAGCATGGTGGAGCATACCTAGCTCTGGTCATAGTCTTGGTCATCCTGTTTCCTCTTTAGTAGGAGTTCATGGAGAGGAAAAGTCTTACCTTTCTCTTCTGAGAGAAGTTGGTAGGCTTTCTACCCCAAACCTTTGGGTCTATGCTGTCCAAGAGGCTCCTTTGGCTCTCAACCATCTCCACCTTAAGCAAGGAGGGTAAGAGTAAAGGTGGGCCACACTGGGGAGCTGTGCATGGCACAGAGCCCTGCCCAGACTATGCTTCAGACACTCATGGCTCCTGTAGGATGGCTGGCTCCATTTCTCTGCTATTTGGCTCTTCTGAGGTTTTCTAGGCCCAACTGGACAAAATGCTCTAGGCTGCTGTGCAGGAGGCTTCTTCCTTTGCTTTTCCCAGGGCTTCTCTGGGGCTGGTTTTGCTGCTTTGGGTCTTCAGTGTCCCGAAGTGACAGGTATTGTTTGCATGATGTCTTGGAAGGATCAGCATTTCAGAAGATGGGTGAAGTGCTAGCCCAGGTGGGTTCTCCTCTGAACCCAGGTACTGGCTGGAAGCTGGTCCAGTACAGAGTCTGCTGTTGTAAACAGGGAGCAGTAACAGGACAGAAATGCAGGGACTATGTGCATTAAGATGAAATGTACTTAAGAGACTGCAGTAACCTATCTGGGGCTGGAAATCCTTCTTTGATTCCTTGTTTTCTTCCCACTCCTCTTATGCCTTTTTTCATGTTGTTTTTGTCTGTGGAAAGCGCTTGTGGTTCCCCAATCTGTGCATGTGTGCCTTGTCTCCCCCTTCATTGTGTTTTTTTTAAACAAAGCCTTCTCTTGGGGCAGAGACCTTGTGTTCAGGAATTTCTCCAGAGTCCTTCAGGACCCTCAAACAGTTTGCAAAAGACACTCTCTGTGTAGRGTTTCTGCATGCTGAGTTATGGGGGAGCATTATTTCTGAGTCCACTGATGACTGGGAACAAGTCACTTGGGAACCAGAAGGGCAAGACACCCTGTTCTGGTGTTGATGYTCCTTCTCCTTTAAGGGAGAGAGAGGTTGGACCAGCTGAACTCCTGAGGTCCCTTTAAACCCAAATTATTGCATGACTACTCCATAAATACCCACCATCCTTCTTCTGCCAGGCTTTTGTAGGATACCTGTTATTAGCTAGTGCTGGTGAGGAGACACGAATGAGGTGGACCACTGCTTTGATCCTGTATGGAGATTCCAGTGACAGTGTGACCCTGGCATCCTCTCCTCCGCCACGTCCTCCAGCCCTGCTAATGATGCAATGCATCTTTCCGGTCCGTCTCTGTCAACCCACATTACTCATCCAGCACAGGGGTGCGCAGTGTGCCCGCATCCCGGCTTTTCAGCTCACCTCTTTTTGGCTTTTTCATTGGGGATTTAGTTCTTTGAGGAGCTCTGCTGTCTGCTAACACATGGTAATTCAGCTGATGCAGCAGAAGCTCTGGGAGAAATTCCAGTCTATTAGGGGATTGCAGGGGTTTTTTTTTTGCATCGAGCCAATCAAGCCCTTTCCACATGTTAAACCTGTGCCTGCGTAAATCACACAACTCCCATTGAAATCCAGATCCTCCAGACAAAGAGGGTCCATCCGTGTCTGGGGCATGCTGCTGAAAAGAAGCAACCAAGAAGTATCTACAACATCTGATTGTTTTTGCATTGCCTCTAAGAGCCCTCATTTCCAAGCTTGCGATGGCAGCCTGGTCCTCCTTGATCTGTGGCTTGAGTGGAGTTATTCATGCCATCTTCATCTGCCTTGGCCGGCAGCCCTGCGTGGGGAGCGGACGGGCACAGCCAGAGCCTCGCTTGGCACTTGAGGCTGTTGAGTGGAGGGCTGGTGCAGAGAGGGTGCCAGCACTGCTGATTGGAGCTAGCCCATGAAAAGCCACGTTAACCGCTTTGCTGCTGTAGGGGACCTGACAGACATGTCCCCAGCAGCTGTGCTGGCTCAGCCGGGCTGACACCCAGATGCCAAGCAAGCCTGGAGCTGTCCTTTACACCTTACCTGCTGCTCACCTCAGGTTCAGCTCTTCTGGTGGAAAGTCAGAAGGATGCAGCAGGGCAGAAAGGTGACCCAGAGAGATGAACCTCCTGCTAAAACTGAGCCAGAGCCCTCTAAATTGCTCTGTGGGGTGGTGAAGAGACAAAATGCCTCCCACACATCAAGGGAAGTTGACTGCTGCAAAAACACCCGAATGCAAATCTCTGACTGGGCAGAATCTCCCCAGACACATCCTTTTGTAAAGCACTCTCATTGTACCATTAAAAATAGATCGGCRTGTTCTCTGCTTGCTTGCTGAATGCTGATGCCTGTTAATTCTGTGTCATCCTCGCAATCCCTTCTTCTTTGAGCTTGGCTGCCTCTTTGTCTGGCACCTGAGCAAGGTTCATTCAGCAGTCCCTGATTCAAAGATAAGAGTGAGCTCTGTTGGAGCCCACAGGACAGGTGGGAAGGTGAGGGTGACTGAACTGGTCTTAGCTGGGGGTCAGCCAGCCCCAAAGGGGCAAGGCTTGGTGTGATTACCTCAGCTTTCACTTGCATGGTCAGAAGCAGGGCTGAGTGAGACCTGCTGTCGTGGAGATGAGTTGGAGGATGTTTAAGCTCTGGGTGGATGGCATGATATATCTCTGGGGTTTATGTGAAACTGCGGTTAAAGTACACATATATGTCATGCTTAACATCTGCCTGGAGTTGGTGAGGGGAATATTGCTGCCTGTTTCCTCCACCAAATGAATCTGTGCTATTTGTCACCCACAACAGTGTTAATATGGATTCAGAGAGAAGATCCATGTTACAAATGCTGCAATACTCAGCTCTCAGCCAGGAGGCCAGGCTGAAAGATTTCGTACACAAAGAGCTGTGGCATTTGACCAGCCGGTCATGGCTGCACAGGGTGGTGAGGATGGAGGAAGATCTGCAAATCACTTTGTTTGACCCCTGTGTCACCTCAGATTAAGAACAAAACCAGCTGGTAATGAATCATGGCCCCCAAGGGGAAAGGAGAAGAGTGGGGCAGGAAC